CCTGCTTGACTGGAACTTGACTTGCCACCGATTTCAATGCAGCACAAAAGTGTTTCGAACGCGCTGTCTTTAGGCGGTGCCAAGACAGCCCAAACGCACTGCATTGAAGGCGGTATAAAGTCAAGTTCAAGTCAAGGAGCATTTCTGAATATGGCGGGTTAGACGTCGCAGACGAAGCCAATGTGCCGCTGGAGAAACTTCCGCCGCAAGCGGGTGTTTGCCCCAGCGAACGCTCTCCGGCAATAACCACATAGACGCCGCAACGCAGCGTTCTTGCAAGCGTTTGACATCGCCAGCAAACTCGACGGCTTGGTTTGCAGGATCTGCTGGCCCCCAGCACTTGCATTCCCGTTCGCAATTTAGCGCGGCTTGGAAGGCTGCTGTATCATCGGTACACAGTTGCTGCTGGCAATCGGCCTCTATAGGCCTGTTATTGTGCCCGGACTGCAGCATTGGCCTGGTGCGAGCCCTCTAATGTTTCCACTGTTGGCACCTTTCTAGAGTTGTCCATGGGCTACCCATGTGAAAGCGTTCAGGTTATTGGCGCTACGGTTGCGACGGGATGGACGACGTCACTCACAACTCAAGCAATGGCGCGCCTGCTTAGGTACGACGCTGAGAAAAGCGTAACTTATAGCACATCCATTGGAGACCTCTCGTTACACCAATACTGAATGGTGTTTCATTTCTCTTAGTTATATACAGCTTTAGCTGTAAAACTGATTACACGGGCGCGGCTTTACACGGTTGCGCCCCACCCCTTCCCGCTTTCCCTAATGTCGAATCTCGTGCACACCTGTCAATTCAAAAGCAGTCGTCAGACCTGCTAGTGAAATCAGATATAGCTTCATGTTTCTCACAGATGCCTAATGCTCCTTATTGTGGTGGTTACTTACACGCAAGGCGCGTTGTATGTTTTCTTAATTATAGAAAAAAAACTCGCTGGGTCCCATCATGCATTCGTTCAAGACGATGCCATGGCGAAGGCCTTCCACTTTTTCTTCTCTGCTTATGTGTTGATTGATCTTTTTCCGCCCTCCTTCTAAGCTCCGCGCACCTATGGTTTTACGTATTGACTCTAGGATTGGAGGAAATGCAAGCTTCCTGCTCCTTGCCTAGTTTTGCGTGGCCTCTGTGATTGACGAACTTTTGACCAATGGAAGATTCCTTTTGAGAGCGTCATCACGTGACGTCGCCAATTTTGAAAATATCTGGTGTCATGGTGATGTCCTGTGGGAATGTCATCATGTGACGACAATATTTTGCACCACTCGTGTGTGGATGCCGTCGCTGCAGAACGCCAACGCTGAGGGTCACCTTCCTTGCTCGAGGAGGTGTCTACGTCCTTCACGCTGAAAAAAAATAATATAACTTATGATCGCAGTAGAATCGCTCTGGTCGCTGCTTGTCGTACACATTTGAAAGAACACTTTAAATTGACACTTTATCCACTGCGCCGGCGACGCTCGAAGTTTTAGCATTCCCGCATTCAGACACGTTGGCATCGATGCAATCCTCAAATGTGTCGTCCCCACAACGTCGCTCGGTAGCAGTGGCGGTCCGCCCGCGGCACGCGCGCATAATTATAGATCACTACTCACTTTGTCGCCGTTCTGGGAAGCCATCCTTTCGCGAGCGCCGTCTTGATTACTGCCATTAGCCAAATTGATGAGCCCTGCTTCGCGAGCATCGAAGGATGGAAAGACCCTCGTCCGAGCTCGTGGGGGGAGACAGTGCGATCAATTGTGTGCTTTCACTCAGTGTAAGAAAGAAAAAAAACGATTTCCCTTTGATATCTGTCCTATAATGTGTCCTGTCAGCATTTCTAAACTTGGAGAAATTGCGTAATTATTTCCCCAGCTCAGCGTGTTATTATGCGCACATACGCAGTGCGGTAGGCGGAGGTATAAGGTTCGACGGAGATTAAAATGTTCATTTAGGAAAACGGCACTGTTGAAATACTTCTTTTATAGAGTGTTTACACGTGGCGGTGGCCTAGTGACTTCATCACGCAAGACCTTGAACGCTTCTTCAAATGTGGAAAGCGACCACTGGCGTCGCCTTGGACAACGACGCAAAAGGTCACATGGTCGAAGTACACGCCTTGATGAAGTCACCGTATGTGACATCACCATGCCGTCACCGATAACCTAAATTATTTTCAGCCACAATGACGGAACAGAACTCGGCGTCGCATGAAGCCGTCATCATGCGAAATCATCGCATGGTCAAAGGTGGGTAAATTGCGCATGCAGGGCAAAACACAGCGAAGGAATGAAGGAAGAAAAAAATCCACGCGTCTCTAAGAAAGATGACAAGTAGACGAAGCTTGGTCCTAAGGTTCATAATGTCTACTATGAAGTTGGTGACTAGTATAAAGGACCAACAGATGAGTGGACGGACGGATGGCCAGGTGTATGGCACGTGCATGTAATACAATAATTTCATTATGCTTGGATACATTTAAAAGTGTAGGCTTTTACGTATACTACAATCGAAGCTCACAAGACGGGCAACGCAAACAGCGGCACTTAATGATGTAGAACCCGACAGGTGACCGCCGAACCTAATACTTCAGCCAATTGCAAGCATTACCTAACTGCTTACGTAAAGCATTCCCTATGACGTAATCGTCCCCTCTCAGTATTTACAATATATTGTTGACGTAACCGTGAATAACGGTGACGCAATAAACGGTGATGCAACTGAATAACTTGGTAAAGTTCTTCTAGTTAAGCAAAAGACCTCAAGCTTTCGCTGCGAGCTCTTCCACTACCATGGACGGCACCGGTAGCTTGTAGTAACATTAGCGGTAAAAAGTGTACGGGCAAACCAAAGTTATGTGTTGTCTCAGATGATGCGCATTTAATGTTGTACAAGCTTACACTATGCTAAATGTACACTGTGATGAACGTACACTATTAAGGGCTTTCTTCACGTCACACAATACGCAGTTTTCTGCAAGTTCGTCTGCCTAAAATGCATACATTAACATAGGCAGTAATATTTTTAAAAAAACCTAGCAAGAGTGCAAATTATACAGAGCTCCATATACAGGAGCGCTCGTAGCGAGTTCTCAAACAGTAACTGAGAGTTTTTACACTTTAAAAAATTAACGTGAATGTTTTGGTGAGTTGATAGTTCATTGTCAAAAAAAGTTCAACGATGCGATAGAAATATATATATATATATATATATATATATATATATATATATATATATATATATATATATATATATATATATATATATATATCTTTGTCCGTTTTTTCTTACTATTCGCGAGAAAATAATCCCAGTGAAATGTTATCCTTGATGGCTTTTTGAAACAATTTCCTAGGTGGTTGAGCATGTTGCCGTGCCAGTGAGACGGTCAAAATTAATCGATTAGCAAAGGTTTCAACAATGATCAATGCTATGCCAACCAACGGTAGGAGCACCTATATTTGTTTGTTTTGTTACAGGGGTAATAAAGTAAAAGTGAGGATGGACACGAATTATTTTCATGTCACGTATGAAGGTAGTAAGAAGACAAAGAACGTTTGTCCACAAAACGAATATTGCAGCTGCACACACAACAAGGTACCCAGCAAATGTAAGTTATTTCATCGCGGTTTTATTTGGGGTGGGGTCGTATAGTTGTTAGCTGGTATAACCTAAAGGGACGCTGAAGAACAAAAATATTTTTCGCGTGTTAGTAAAGTACAATTTCACAATACTGAAACATCACTTTTAACCCAACGGGATGCTTGGTAAGCGGAAAAACGCAAAAAAAAAATGCGGGCGGAGTCAGCACCTTGGTATTCCAGCGGAAAACGGATGACGTCATAGATTTTGATGGTGTCTACTTGAGACTACAGAATTTCTCACCGATAAAATCGAAGTATATTGTTATCTGTTGGTGTCATAGACGTAGTATACGAAGCTTCGAAAATTTTCAATATTAAATTTCGCGATGAAACTTCAACTCGTAATATAAAAATTTCAAAATGATTTTTTTTCTATTTTCGCGACATTATTTCAATGACACTGAACCTGAATTTTGGTCGCTAAGAAAGAAGTGATTGATAGAAAAGCATGTGGCATTAGTTCTCCAAGTGGACATTGTCAATCTAAACCAAGGCAGTGTTCCTCTTTGTTGTCCCTTTGCGATTACATAAACAGCGAAGATGCCGCATTTAGCCCGTGAAAGAAGACAATTTTCATGTTAATTTCTGCTTCATTTTGTTCGCTTTTTGTTTTAATTCGTTCTTTGCAGCGAAGCTGCTTAAGACATCCCTGAATTTCATAGCGAATCAGGAACAGGCACAGAGAAATGAACACGTATGTGAACTGTGATATAAATAAATCGTTATGTGCCGCAAAAAGTACGTAAATCCCACCACTCAAAACCTGTTGACCGGCAATAAAGATTGAAACTATCATCATATCAGGTTGCAAGGCGGGTTCGTTGGTGTGCCATCTTTGAATAACAATGGTAGCGCAAGGTAACGAGACGCGAGAACAACGCGGAGATACAGACAGCTCCACATTTACAACAAATAGTTTATTATTCAGCACCCCGTGGTTCTTAAAAACGTTCCTTCTTCTTTCACACAGCTTCAACTAACACGTGCAAAAGTACGAGAAATCTTTAGTCAGCATTTTGGGAGTGACGCTCTCTATGCCATGGGGGTCATGCGTCCGCGGTGTATGTAGTAGTAGTAGTAGTAGTACTAGTAGTAGTACTAGTAGTAGTACTAGTAATAGTACTAGTAGTAGTACTAGTAATAGTACTAGTAATAGTACTAGTAGTAGTACTAGTAGTAGTACTAGCAGTATGTCGTCGTCGTCGTCGGCGGCGGTGGCGGCGGCGGCGGCGGTGGTGGCGGTGGTGGTGGTGGTGGTGGTGGTGGTGGTGGTGGTGGTGGTGGTGGTGGTGGTGGTGGTGGTGGTGGTGGTGGTGGTGGTGGTGGTGGTGGTGGTGGTGGTGGTGGTGGTGGTGGTGGTGGTGGTGGTGGTGGTGGTGGTGGTGGTGGTGGTGGTGGTGGTGGTGGTGGTGTGGTGGTGGTGGTGGTGGTGGTGGTGGTGGTGGTGGTGGTGGTGGTGGTGGTGGTGGTGGTGGTGGTGGTGGTGGTGGTGGTGGTGGTGGTGGTGGTGGTGGTGGTGGTGGTGGTGGTGGTGGTGGTGGTGGTGGTGGTGGTGGTGGTGGTGGTGGTGGTGGTGGTGGTGGTGGTGGTGGTGGTGGTGGTGGTGGTGGTGGTGGTGGTGGTGGTGGTGGTGGTGGTGTGGTGGTGGTGGTGGTGGTGGTGGTGGTGGTGGTGGTGGTGGTGGTGGTGGTGGTGGTGGTGGTGGTGGTGGTGGTGGTGGTGGTGGTGGTGGTGGTGGTGGTGGTGGTGGTGGTGGTGGTGGTGGTGGTGGTGGTGGTGGTGGTGGTGGTGGTGGTGGTGGTGGTGGTGGTGGTGGTGGTGGTGGTGGTGGTGGTGGTGGTGGTGGTGGTGGTGGTGGTGGTGGTGGTGGTGGTGGGGTGGTGGTGGTGGTGGTGGTGGTGGTGGTGGTGGTGGTGGTGGTGGTGGTGGTGGTGGTGGTGGTGGTGGTGGTGGTGGTGGTGGTGGTGGTGGTGGTGGTGGTGGTGGTGGTGGTGGTGGTGGTGGTGGTGGTGGTGGTGGTGGTGGTGGTGGTGGTGGTGGTGGTGGTGGTGGTGGTGGTGGTGGTGGTGGTGGTGGTGGTGGTGGTGGTGGTGGTGGTGGTGGTGGTGGTGGTGGTGGTGGTGGTGGTGGTGGTGGTGGTGGTGGTGGTGGTGGTGGTGGTGGTGGTGGTGGTGGTGGTGGTGGTGGTGGTGGTGGTGGTGGTGGTGGTGGTGGTGGTGGTGGTGGTGGTGGTGGTGGTGGTGGTGTGGTGGTGGTGGTGGTGGTGGTGGTGGTGGTGGTGGTGGTGGTGGTGGTGGTGGTGGTGGTGGTGGTGGTGGTGGTGGTGGTGGTGGTGGTGGTGGTGGTGGTGGTGGTGGTGGTGGTGGTGTGGTGGTGGTGGTGGTGGTGGTGGTGGTGGTGGTGGTGGTGGTGGTGGTGGTGGTGGTGGTGGTGGTGGTGGTGGTGGTGGTGGTGGTGGTGGTGGTGGTGGTGGTGGTGGTGGTGGTGGTGGTGGTGGTGGTGGTGGTGGTGGTGGTGGTGGTGGTGGTGGCCATCTCCACAGCTGAACTAGAGGAGTGACACGCGCGCACCCTTTTCATCACAAATAAAAAGATAGTTGTTCCTGATGAAATATCTTACAGCGACGAGTATTGGCGAATAAATCTTAATAAAATTTGCCTTGAATTTGATGCTTACCGAAAAAAAAACCTAGTATCAGAAAGACGCACACTTTGAGCACTATCCGAAAAGAAAGGGTTGCCACGTTAACCTCGCTGGGCGTAACCTCCTTGGTTTTAGCAAGGTTTACCGAGCGTTGGGCCGCAGTGCCACGAATACAGTGAACTAGTATATACCATGAACTCGAGGTGGTTAAAGGTGGAAAGTAGACATGAAGCGCAAGCCGTAAGAAAGTGTGCGTGTGCCTCCTCTCGTTCAGTCCTTGGAATATCCGTGAATGGCGGTGCTTCTATGTGGAAAATACATTGTGAAAAGATGCGAGATGGCGGTACTTGGAGTGTTCACTAGATGGATGAACGGATAGATGAACGGACAGATAGACGTGCGGATGAACGCATAGACGGACGGACGCATGGACAGTCGCACAGACAAAAGCAAGAAAAAATGGGCGGACGGGTGCTTCGCCCCGCTCATCATCGTGCACTCTGTGGATATGCTGTGATTTGTTTTTGTTCGTTATCATGCATGAGGACCAAATCGCACAAGCGAAAATAAAAAAAAATAGGGGATCCTAAAGCTTCGCCTTTAGGATTTGAACGCGACAGCGACATCCTCTTCATAGTGCGTATTTCAAACAATTTGCATGAAGCCTTCTGTCTGCATTATTCTTTTTGCGCATTCCTTGTAATCGTTCGGTTCATCGTTGCCGAGTGTAAGACAAGTTGGTCGATTCAGTTACTGTGGCCGAACGTGGCTCAAGCAACCTGAACAAGAAAAAACGGCAGAACAATATTTATTTATCACTCTCTTGAGCTCATGCGCAGGTATTGTAGCTCTTTCCATGAGATTGAAATCGACGGACTGCTTAGACATGCACTATACCAGCCGTATCTATCTAACCAGATTCTACATATAAGCGTGATACTTCACACGCACTCCTACATAAGATGGCGGCATCTTGAAACTGTCCCTGCATTGTAAGAAATGCAAATGAAATCCATGTCTTCAAGATGCCGCCATCTTAAGTAAGAGTTGGTGTGAAGTAACGCGAGAATACCCCTAAGCGATGATAGGCCTAAACAAACGACGACGGGCCCGTCTATCTACAAGAAGTGCAAACGCTTGGTTTCAACGCAAGTTTCTGCCTCCGGATTGGGGACGCCTGTGTAGTTTTTGTGACTGTCTATTATTTAACACGAACGCCTCTACATCCACAGCCAACATAAAAAATACCTAGCTAAAGCTTAGCAACCGGCTGGAAAGCAACCTGGAAAAAACCTACTTCACCTAACTAATATCTACGAACATCCTAGGAGCAGAATATTCTAGCTTCGCTATTTCAAGCATCCCGTTTTGCCAATATATTTCACCTGTTCAATTCTGTTTCTTGGTCACGTCTTTTCTATCTTTTTTTATGAAGCTCCAGATCATATAGGCAAGGTGTAGCCAATGATATATAAATTTCAACCTTTCCAAACCAAGCCAGCTAGAACAGAAATATATATATATATATATATATATATATATATATATATATATATATATATATATATATATATATATATCAACTGTACACTAAGTGAACCCGTCAGAGGCTTTTTTGTGTATACTGGGTTATCGAATATGTCACACGTCTTACCCTGGCATTCACTCAGAGCTGAAACAAAAGCCAAATTACTAGCCTAGGGAACTCGCAAGAGACAGTCAAAGCAACAGTCCTTTCAGGGTTCCCCACAAAGCGAACCACGGTGGCCCGTAAGAGCGTCTGTAAATCTTTCCATGGCAGAATAATGGCCTCTCCATCTGGTGCCGGCGGCACTGACTCATTAATTTCGTTCATCGCACAGCGAGAAATCAAGCTGCCCCCTTCCCCCTTTTCTTTCCCTTGAAAGCTTCTCCCGTCTGCAACCTCCCTCCCCACTTACCGCTGCGCCTATTCCAAAACCTGTTCTTTTGTTCGAGAGCTTTGAACGAAATATCTTGGAGCCTTTTGTGTTGGTTTGAACAGAACCCAGCACACGCCTCGAGAAAAAGCCATTTCTTTTCGTACCGTTCTCTCCCTACTCAGCGGCTTCGAATTTTCACAGTTTCCAACCAGCTGCCAAATTACAATGCCGAAATTCTTTTGTGCCCGGAACAACAACCCGAGTCTCTAAAAAGAATGAAACAAAAAAAGCATTGCTACCAAAGCAAGGGGATAGTGTGGCAACAAATGATCGAAATTGGGCGATGCGGTAGGCCGCAACTAGTGCGAGGGTTCCAAACTTCCAAGTTAAGCAAATCGCCCTCAGCAGTAGAACACATTATCGGCTCCTGTAGTTAGCAGTTGTTTGTAATAGTTATCAAGCCCTGGCTTTGAATTTCATTTTCGGAACCCCCCATGGCGGTCTAGAGACTAAGATACTCGGCTGCTGACCCGCACATCGCGGGATCGAATCCCGGTTGCGGCCACTGCATTTTCCATGGGAGTAAAAATGCTTGACGACGGTGTGCTTAGATTGAGGTGCACGTTAGAAAACCCCAGGGGATCTGAATTTTCGCAGCCCTCCACTGCAGTGTCTCTCATAATCATATGGTAGTTTTGTGACAATAAACACCAGCAACTATGATTAGTTTCATTTTCTGTCAATGTCGGTGAGTACTGCATCCAGATAATACCCAAGGATAACTAGTCGGTCAATTAGTCGATAAGTGAGTTGAAACCTAAAAAAATAAACTATATTCAGTTCATTTGTAAGAAAGCATAAATTCTGCCCACAGCTGCTGCCCTTCTAACAAATTATTTGCGTTGCGTTTTGAACAAATGTGCGCAAATTGAAGTACTATTTAGTCGAACATAAGAGAGAAGTAAGCTGTCCCAAAGCAGGCTCGGGCAGTATAGAAACACTACCCGTGTTTAGAAAATGTGTTCAACGACTAAGAGTACTTGGTACTCTTACTAAGAACATCTTTGAGCTATCCCAGCTGTCGATCTATATTACTTTGTGCTATATTTAGGAAGAGCAGAAAGCCGTACCAGCGACTAGACGTTTATCACTAACAAACATTTTTTTGTTTTATTGCATTGTTTAAAAAATTGGCAGATCCCACGTGCAGTGGGAATCGATGATATGCGAAGCACGAATAAGAAGGGCTAATAAGTCACTTTAAGATCCGCACAACGTTACGAAGTGGAGGTAAACTATGACGTACATGACTTCCGTGTCATGATTATCATGTTTGGTTGGGTCGTGTACCTTCGTCATCTCTTCATGTCATGAGCTACCAAATTTAGAATATGTGGAGCTAGCGAAACGGCCGCGAGCACGCTATTAGCGTGGTATGTTGTCCTGTTCTTACATAACACGCGTGTCAGGATTATCATTTTTGCACCAGTCACATAATACGTCATCCATTGACGTCACGTAACCCCAAATTTGGTATATGCGAAGCTAACAAAACGGTCGCGAGTGCATCAAAAAAGGCCCAATATACGGCAACCAGCGCGAAATTCGCGCCGATGCGTTACCGAGACAACACTGCGTCTCCTTCCTTTCGTGACGGAGGGACGCCGGACGCACTGAAACGCGCATGCGTCAAACCAACGCAGCGCGGCGCACGCCTGCGAGTATATGGCGAAACTGGCGCCTGGCGTCACAACGCCGGCATGACGCGACTCAAAAAACGCCGGCAAGCATGCGCACCGCGTAACGTCGAAATGTATTGGTGCCTTGACAGTGGCATGTAGTCATGTTCTCACATGACACGCATCTCATGAGACGCATCACATGACACGCATCTCATGATGTTTGCACCAGTCACATACCTTCGTCATCCGTTGACATGACGTACTGCCAAATTTGGCATTTATGAAGCTACCAAAACGGCCGCGCTAATATCATGAGTGTGGCATGAAGTCATGTTGTTACATGACACGCATGTCGTGATTATCATGTTCGGATGTGTCATTTACATATGTCGTCTATTCGCTTCGCGTAATACCGAGTTTGTACATGTGAAGCTAGCGAAACGGCCGCGAGTGCATCATGAGCGTAGCATGTAGTCATGTTGTTAAATGACACGCATCTCATG